GCTGGTGGTCGGCCTGCTCCGTCTCTGCCGCTTGCCAGCTACGCCTCGGCCGGCGCAGGGGGCGGAACCACGCATGCGCGGCGCTCCCGGGCAGGGAAAGTCCTCGACTTACGACCGGTTGGGTAGTCCTCGACTTACGACCGGTTTAGTCCTCGACTTACGACCGGTTTAGTCCTCGACTTACGACCGGTTGGGGGTCACGGCATTAAAAAGGTTGAGAACCACTGTTCTAGGGGACGTAATTAGTGGGAACACTTACAACCCAATGACACTCTGCCTACTCACCTAATGAGTAGTGAAAAATCAGAATGCAGATTTAATGCAGCTTATTAGCAGAAAGAATGCCTGCCATTTTTTAAATAAATCTGCTATCAATGGCAGGTCAGCTGGCCACAAAAAAATGCTGTTCCAAGTCGGCAAAAGTAGATGACTCACAAAGAGCAAACTGAACTGTGGTCCAGAAATTAAATCCTTGTTCAGCAAGAAACTTATTAGGTGACCTCAGGCCTGCTGCTGTTCTTTAGCAGTTAAATATACTCTTGAGCATTTATTGAAGAGGAATGAAGGAAGGAGTAATATTTGAGCCAATTTGGTGTAGTGTTTAAGACACCAGGCTAGAAATTGTTAGGTCTATTCCCATCTTAGGCATGAAAGCCGGCCGGCTGACTTGGGCCATTCCCTCTCTCTCAGCCTAACCCACCTCGCAGGGTTGTTGAGGGGAAAGCAGGAGGAGGAAGGAATATTATATACATTCATCACCTTATTTATAAAAAAGAATAAAGGTGGAATAATGAAATAAATAAGCAAATCAAGCAAGCCTTGGGCTTCTTGAAAGACAGACAGCATAACATAGTTATAATGGTAAACCATATTATCCACCTATCTGCTTGGAAATACAGGTAGTCCTCAACCCACATCAGTTCATTTAGTGACCGGTCAAAGTTACAGTGGCACTGAAAAAAGTGACTCATGACCATTTTTCACACCCACGACCACCATGATCATGTGATTAAAATTCAGACACTTGGCAACTGGTTATGACAGTTGCAGCGTCCCAGCATCCTGTGATCACGTTTCGCAACTTTTTGGCAAGCCAAATCAATGGAGAAGCCAGATTCACTTAACAACCATATTAATAACTTATCAACTGCTCTGATTCACTTAACAACTGTGGCAAGAAAGGTGATAAAATGGGGCAAAACTCCCTTACAAATGTCTCACCTAACAACAGAACCTCTGGACTCAATTGTGGTCGTACGTCAAGGACCAACCACTCTGGTTTACTTCCACAAAAACAGGCTGTATGCTTCCAAGGAAACATGACTAGCCTGGCTTCAATATAGCCAAGACAGGTATTTGTTATGTAGCTTTTATTATTATTATTTTTCTCTCTCTCCTGCCTCCTACGTATCCTGTCCAAATGGTTTAGTCCATGTGACATGGAGTGGGAGATAAATCTTTTGTGGCTTACTGTATTGCATGCCTACAACAACTTAGGTCTAAATTAAGTGACAAATGTTTATTTGAAATACGTTTCTCAGCTGGTTGCTATGCAACATTATGATTAAGTTATCCTTTTGGCACACTCAGAGCTGTTCTAAACTGGAAAAGTATAACATAGGAAGTAAACTGGAGATACTCCTAAAATTATGCATTCAACAAAAGCACTCAAACAAGTTTAGAAGCAATGCAAAGACAACAATGTGACATGGGGACTCAAACAATTATCAATTCAATGTCCCAAGCTCACAAATTTTAAGATACGTCAGTAAGAATTTAATTGAATAAAATAAGTATCTGACTTCTAGGGTGGCCCAGATGCTAAGCAACTCAACACAACTGTATTTAAAATTTATCCCTGAATATATAAATCATATAGACTTATTTGAGAAACACCCTCTATGGAACTCCCAAATAAATTTATATATGATTATAGTAAAGTAGCAACTGCAGAATTATTCTGTCTCCCCAAAGATTATGCTCTGAACTTAAAAGCTCTCAAGATGCTTCTTTAAAACATTATAAAAATGCTGCAATGTCTAAATTTCTATATTTTACATGTTTTAAATTGCATGCCCTAATCCTTCAAATAAGCTCCTGCAGAAACACCACTGAAGAGAGGAAACCAGTATTTCCTTACACAGAGATTCAAAACACACAAAATAAAGTATAGGAAACACCCTCCTAAGATCTGAAACTAACTGAAGGTCAGTGGTAATGTTATATTTACATATTACTGTACTGTATTCTAACCCATAATACTGTTTGTTTATTTTTGGCTTTCCGTGTTGAGATAACCCAGCCAGTGCACTTTATAAACCATTACAAATAATTACATTTTAAAACTACTTTTCTCCAGACAGATTACAAATGTTGTAAAAGCATTAAAAGTTTCTAAAGGATTTAAAAAGAGGAAATGAAATGCAATTAACTAGGGCTAATGTGGGCTGCAAAAATCTGGATAAGAGATACAGAAAACTTTGTAATCTTTTAGTCACAAGAATTTTTGCACCCTGGATATGGAAACTCTAAGGGAATGAAACAATCCACTTACTCCTATGTAGACTAGTTAATGTAAATTGAACAGAAGACAAAATGGTAAAAATATCTGGGACAAAATAAATTTTGCTGCCTGATACCAAAAAGACTTCATGCTTTTTGAGGAAAGCTAGACAATCAAAAGTTAAGAACAGTTACATAGGAAGTGAAATTCCCTAAGAAATTTTGTTGCCAATAATGCACAAAACCAGTCAATCTTATAGGAGTTAATAGAACACGCAGTTGTCAGAATTTCTAGAATTACAATAAATATACACACCTGTAGTAAATTTCTATGAAGAATCTCAGTCATCCATCCAAGTCATGGTTGTTCCAAAGGCGCTTTTTCAAAAGACAACTGGACTGTCTTTGTTTTGCTTGAAGACGTTTCGCTTCTTATCCAAGAAGCTTCTTTCAGTTCAGCTGCAGAACTGAAGAAGCTTCTTGGAGGAGAAGAGAAACGTCTTCAAGAGGAAAACCAAGAAAGTCCAGCTGTCTTTTGAAAAAAGCCCCTTTGGGACCTGCAGGAAACCTGTGACTCTTCAAGAAAAGGAATTTGTACCTTTAACGTACCTTTGAATAGAAAAGATATATTCTGAATATAAATATATACCTTTTAATATAAATATAAATAAATCCATGATAGTTATATACCGGCCTTTCCTGTTGCTGGAAATGACATTCTCTTCTTTCCCTACCTGCCTTCCCTACACAGCCCAAGGAGGTGAGTCTGAGAAATAGCAAGTGGCTCACAGGATCTTAAGCGGAGACCTTGAAAAGGAGACCACCAGGAGAGACCACCAGGAAGCCCCAAGGCTGTGGGCTAGAACAAGCACCCCAGAAAAAGCCACTTTCTCCCTAGAAACTGAGCAGAGTTTTATTTAAATGGGTTATCCTCATATTTTACAATGAGGTCACTAATAGCCCCCTGCCCCCCCCCAAATAAAGTGCTACAGATAAGGTTCGTTTTAACTATATCTTTCCTCAGCCACATGCTAGACCAGTGGTTCTCAACCTGTGGGTCGGGACCCCATTTGGGGTCGATCGACCATTTCACGGGGGTCGCCAAGCAAGGCTGTCCGCCATTTTTTTCCCCCTTTTCTGGCGGGTGCCTTACCTCCCCTGGGCTGGGCCAGCTGGTGGTCGGCCTGCTCCGTCTCTGCCGCTTGCCAGCTACGCCTCGGCCGGCACAGAAACCACGCGGAACCGCGCATACGCGGCGCTCCCGGGCAGGGAAAGTCCTCGACTTATGACCGGTTGGGTAGTCCTCGACTTACGACCGGTTTAGTCCTCGACTTACGACCGGTTTAGTCCTCGACTTACGACCGGTTGGGGTCGTGGCATTAAAAAGGTTGAGAACCACTGTGCTAGACGGAGAGGGTGAGAATACAGGGGAAACTCCCAAAGTTAAGGAATATAGACACTAGCGGCCAGGGGTAGGCAACCTTGGCTCTTTTATGACTCGTGGACTTCAACTCCCAGAATTCCTGAGCCAGCTATGCTGGCTCAGGAATTCTGGGAGTTGAAGTCCACGAGTCATAAAAGAGCCAAGGTTGCCTACCCCTGCACTAGCCTAACGGAAAACGCGTCTCTGGGCATGTGAAGAGCGCGTTGTTGTTGTCCCCCCTCCCGAGAAGGTACACTCAGGCCTCCACGGACGGCCTACGAGTGCCGCCCCACGTATTGGAGATAAAGTCCCTAGCAGGACCGCCGCAGCCTCGCCTCCCTCCGGCTCACCGTGTGCTCAGAGGCCCCGGCCACCGCCATGTCGTAAAAAGGCGGCCGTGCCTGGTGCATGTCCCTTTAAGGCCAGCAGCGCTCCCGCCTCCCCCCCCGGCCTTCCAGCTGTCAACAAGGTCGCTCTATTGAGTGACATAGCAACCGGCCAACCACGATGCAACTCCCTCTCCCTAGCCTAGGCGCCTCGCATCCGGCTCGTTGCCTCTTACGGCGCGCTTGCGTCACAGAGCGGAGGCGGCGATTGACGCGACAAACAGCCAGTAGGAATCGGCGATGGGAGTTAGGCGGTGGGTCTTAAGCCCCACCTGGATTTTCGGCGCTGCGTTTGTTTGGAACGTATCGGTAGGGGAGTCAATCGTACAGTCAGAACGGCATGCGTCAAGAGTCGTTTTTCTCTACCTGTTGGCAGAGAAGCGAGAGGAAGAAAAGGCAGGAAGTATCCCCGCTCTCTCCTGCGCAATCGCAGTCATGAGACGGTTGGAAGGAAAAAGCCCTCCAAACTTCAGAAGAGCGCCCCGGAGGACCAATGAGAGAGAGAGAGCGCGCTCCGGGGCCCCTTCGATTTCTTGATTGGTCGGATTGCACGTGACGTCACGCGGCGAGGCGGACGGGCGGCAAGGCGCGTGTCCTTCCGTCCCGTTCTGCCATTGGGCGCCGAGGTTTGAAGGAAGTATTGCCGCGCGGCTCGGATTGGCCGAGGAGGTGGACCCGCCTCGCGAGGCGTTCATTCGCTCCTCCGCTCGCGCTCTCCCTCTGTTTGTGTGAGAAGGAGGGGGGAAAAAAAAAAAACGGGTTCGGGCCCCGCCGCTGACACAAGGAAGAGGCGCGGCCTATCGACGCCGGGAAGCGGTCGCGGCGGCGAGGATCGAACCGCGGTTCGTCTGGCTTGTATTGCCTCTCCGGCGGGCGGGCGGGCTGGCGGCCGGCCGGCCGTGGCTCTCTCTAGGCCGAGAGGAAGGCGGATGGCGGCAACATCCGGGGCTTCTGGGGCGGCGATCGTGGCGACGGCGGGCGCGGGATCCGGCGCGGCCCCGGCTCTCTACGCCTGCACCAAGTGCAACCAGCGCTACCCTTTCGAGGAGCTCTCCCAGGGACAGCAGCTCTGCAAGGTGCCGCTTCCTCGGGGCCGAGGGCGGAGGCGGCGGTAGGAAGGGAGGGAGGGAGGGACGGTTGCGTGGGTGGCTGCGACCGGCCAGGCGGCTTTTGATTGGAGGCTTGGAAGAAAGGCTTTCGCCCGGCCGGAGCAAATACTTGGGCTTTATTAGGATTATTTTCTAGAAGCCTTGCGGGTAAAAATGATACACATTAGCACGCACTTATATTCATACACACACATTCTCACGTATACTTTCACACACGTGTTTGTATGATCACGTGTACACACACACACACGGCCACATAGCAGTGAAAATAACCCAACTTTGCTTTTTCATGCAGTATTCAGCGGCAGATGGTTACTTAAGGTAAACTCTGACACCGTTAAGTATAAAAAAAGTCGTCGGAAGGATAATAAAATTAGTATTCGTCATAATATTAGGGCAGAAGGCTTCAAGGTTTTATACTGTACTGTAGGAGGGACTCCTTTTTTCCATTCCTTAGAACAGAGATGGGGGAACTGTGGCCTTTTTTTAACGACTTGTGGACTGCGACTCCCAGAATTCCTGAACCAGCATGGCTGGCTCAGGAATTCTGGGAGTTGAAGTCCACAAGTCATAAAAAGGCCGTAGTTCCCCACCCCTGCCTTTAGAACCGTGTTTCTCAACCTGGACAATTTTAAGGCATGTGGACTTCAATTCCCAGAATTCCACAGCCAGCATTGCTGGCTGTGGAATTCTGGGAGTTGAAGTCCACATGCCTTAAAATTGTCAAGGTTGAGAAACACTGCTTTAGAAGCTTACAAAAGCTTCTGATGCTCTGCCATGTTGCCTGCTGAATTGCACCTTGTAGCCATCTGTGGTTCCTTCTGATGAAAGTAGGGTGGGATATTTTTTTCCACAGGGTAGAAAATTAGCAGGAAAATTCAAAATTTCTGGGTAGTAAAAGAGCAAGTTTGGTCTAGTGTTTAAGCCACTAGGCTAGAAAAACGAGACAGTGAGTTGCAGTCCCTCCTTAGCCATGAAAGGCAGCTGGGTGACCTTGGGCCAGTCACTCTCTTTTAGCCCAATCTATCTCAAAAGAGTTGTTGTGGGGAAAATAGAGGGTGGAAGGTGTGTTATATATGTTCCCTGCCCTGAGTTATTTGTAAAAATAATAAAGGCAGGATATAAATCAATAAAATAAGGACAACTGTACAACATGTAGTGCTGTTCAGAATGGCAATTTGGTTTCAAATTTGACACTTTTACTGTTGGAACTCTTGACCTCAAGTATTTTGATTTCATCCAGGGTTTTTTCCCCTTGAACTCATTTCTTATGGAATGAGATATACTGGAAAATTTCCATGGATGGAAAAATGCACAGTGTATCTATTTCTAGATTTTGAGAGTGGGGAGGGTAAGAGGTACTGATATCTTTATAGGTTGTGCTTTCATCCTGAGATTTAAAACATAAATTCACTGCTACTTAGATATTTGAAATTGAAAGAATCAGCTGTACGCATCGGATTTTAGCAAGGAAGAGACATCTGTTTTCTTTTAAAAAGAAGAGCTGTGGTCTTTTATGATATAAATTTTCCTAGACAGTTACAAAATCATCACAGACTGTTAGATGGATCTAGTAGCTGATACATTCCAAGGCATTTACGGTAGTTTCAGGAATTCATAATATCAAAACAAAGCAATTAAAAATGGAAAATTTCAAAAATGCCAAAAATGGTTGTGGGTTTCTGTCTGCATCTGTATTGTCTGTGCTTTCTTATGTAATAGCCTATATATACATCCGTAGACAGTATTCATTGAATAAATGTGTAGTTTGAGGCATTGGCAAACCTTGGCTTCAGCAGCATGGGTATTTTTTAAATGATAATAGCTGCATAAAGTCATTCAATTGAAATGGTATAGAGGCACTTGCAATAAAAATAAATAAAATAATTGTTTCCACTGCAGAGCAAAGTACATTTAAACTGTGTGTGACACTACTGATTTTGTGAATGATTTTTATTGCAATATTTATGTTTTAAATCTCCAAAAGTTGTTAAAACATATTCCCTATGGGTAGTCCTTGACTTGAGACCACATTTGGGAGCAGAATTCCCATTGCTAAGCTGGTTCTTAAGTGAGTCACATCTGATTTTATGATCTTCTTTGCCATGGTTGTTAAGCAAATCGCTGCAGTTGTTAAGTGAATTACAGTTATGAAGAGAATTGACTTCGCTTATGGGAAGCTGGCTGGGAAGGTTGCAAATGGCGACTACATGACTGGGACACTGCAACTGTCATAAGTACATGCTAGTTGCCTAGCCCAAATTTTGATCACATAACTGAGGATTCTTTAATGGTCATAAGTGTCAAGGTTAGTTGTAAATCATTTTTTTCAGTACCGTTGTAATTTTGAAAGGTCACTAAACAAATGGTTGTAAGTTGAGGACTATCTGTACATCTTTATTTGAAAAATTAAATTACAGTAAGTTAATTTTGTACAGTAGCCTGCCAAGGGTACTGTTCTGTTCTAATAAATTATATTGTTAGTCCAATAATCAAGAATACTGTCCTATTTTACTACCTCAGATGATGAATGTTTAGAATGTTTTGTAAGGTAAAATCTAATGCACCTAATATCACTTGTTGCACTTCAATCAAATATTGATTATCTCTTCTAGGAATGTCGGATTGCGCACCCCATTGTAAAATGTACTTACTGCCGATCAGAGTTTCAGCAAGAGAGGTAAGTTAAATAAATATATTAATGAACAAAGGATTGTTGAAGAAAAGTAACTGTTGGTGGCTCTGGAAATGCCATGCATGGAGCTTAAATTCATATCTAGTTCTGTTTGCTGAGAATTCTTGGAATTGTAGCCTCCACACCTCAAGAAAATACCATGTTAGAAAACGCTGCCCTACTCCATTTCTTCCTAACATACCTACATGAGTTTCATGAGGACTGCATTGTGTTTTTTCTTTCCCATTTAGTGGCATGTCTAATATTTTTTCAAATGGTAGCCTCAAACTGGTGACCTTCATCCACTTGATGGTCAGAGTGCTAGCAAATTTCCATACTGTTAATAATTTAAGCCTTATATGGCATAATAGAATGTGGCTTTAGTTCCCAATATATCATTTTTAAACTTTTTACTAATGCAGCAATATCTTTAATCTCAGTTAAGAGTTTATGTAGCTTACTTGCATTAATATATTCAGTTAAGATTAAGTCCTCAATAATTTAAAAATTAGGATTTAAAATGACACACTAAGTAGAAACTTTACTGGTTAATGGTGTCTGATATGTAAAATTACTTAAAGTTTTAATAGTACATTTGTTTGTTTTGATGTAAAATTCCTATAGAACTAATACACCTAGACGATTCTCATTTTTTTCTGTATGGAAAATTTGTTCTCTTCTTAATTTATGTGGCAATAACATATTCTTTGAGAACCTTAGGAGCAACATGTTAATTCACAACTTTCTCCTTTTCAGCAATAATTATAGGTAGGTGGTTGATAACTAAGTAGCTAACATTTGGAATTTTGCTTTTTTCACAGCAAAACTAATACAATATGCAAGAAGTGCGCCCAAAATGTGAAACAATTTGGAACGGTAAGTTAACATATGTAGTCGTATTTGTGATTGGGTTGCTAAACTATAATTGTCTAGATTCCTAAACAAATTGTAGACATTCTACCCTTGTTTGTTTGATATAATAGAGCAATTTTCTGGGATAGCAATTACAATTTTCCTTGGTTATGTGATGTGAAGAGAAATGATCCATGTATACTGACAATTTATTAATAAACAAAACTGAGGAGATTATTTGTTTTGAGTTTTTTTGGTAGCAGATAAGGATTTTATGCCTGATGTAGACATCCAGATGAATGCAATTCTAATTTTATGAAGCAGTTCCAGACACTGATTGGAATTATATGAGATGGAACTACTGAAACTCTAAATATGTTTTCAAAGGGATTATATAACCCATTATCTCTTGTTCCAGTTATAAAACTTAATGCTCTTCTAGTATGCAAGTACTGTGTTTGATGACAATCTGTATTCAGCCTCCTGTATAATTATTTGATCTCACCCCCCAATTGATTTTCAGTTCTCAACAACTTAAATTAACATATTTTTAAGAGTTTCTAACCATTTTTTCCAGCCAAAACCGTGTCAGTACTGCAACATCATTGCTGCTTTTATTGGTACAAAATGTCAGCGCTGTACAAACTCTGAAAAAAAATATGGACCACCTCAGACCTGTGAACAGTGTAAGCAGCAATGTGCTTTTGACCGCAAAGAAGAAGGAAGAAGAAAGGTAGGCTTTGGTCATTTTAAATAAAAGTTTGCTGTAAAATTGATCCCAAATCAACTGAGTAAAATCCAGCTTACACTCCATTTTCCCAAGTCAGACCTGAATGTTTAGTTATGCTACGTAGTCTTACATGGATGAATATCCATAGCAATGACCAAATCTTGATCTATATATATATAAGGTCTGTATGGTATCCCTTTTCCTTATGTCTTACGAAACTAGATTAGCTGCATTGTTGATTTGATGTTTTCTAAAAGAAAACTGCCTTTTATATTACATTTAAAATGACTATTTCCAAGTATTTATAGAGAAATAATTTGCCTAAAAGGAATCTCTCTTCATATGTTTCTGGGTTAGGGTTTATATATGTCTATGTATCACCTCAGAGTTCATAAGATTATGAACTAATTAATTTGATTTTGCAAAACAGTGGGCAACAAAAATAATTACATGAATTTTTCTTATATGTTAAAAGGTTCAAATAATGTCAGTGTCAAGATTTGGTCTATAATTTGCCCAGTTACTATTTATGTGGTATACTATTTCAGTTGTCATTTATAATTATTTGTTCTTCATAGAATTCAGGGTATTATAGTACTGTAGCCTTAGGAATTCATCATGCATAGGACATACATAGAAGAGCCAGTTTATCTAGTGCAGTGGTGGCGAACCTCTGGCACGGGTGCCAGAGGCGGCAATCAGAGCCCTCTCTGTGGGCACGCGCGCTGTCGCCCCAGTCCTAGGCCTTCAGCCGGGTTTTATAAAACCTTTTCGCTTTAGGCCTCCACCACCATGTACAAAAAAAAGGTTCAATCAGTCAGTCAGTTAATTTCAACTTCTCGCGGGAAAAAAAAAGATCTTGCAAAGTTGGAATTGCTTGATTGAACTTTTTAGACCCACCCAGTCTGCTGTTACCACCGCAGCCCGCCCACCCAATGGGCCACGCCCACCCGGCACCCGACGATGCATAAGTGGGTTTTGGGTTGCAGTTTGGGCACTCGGTCTCTAAAAGGTTCGCCATCACTGATCTAGTGGTTAAAGCACCAGGCTAAAAAGCAGGAGGTCCTGAGTTTATGGCCTTAGGCATGAAAGCCAGCTGGGTGACTTTGGGCCAATCCTGCTCAGCTGAACCCACCTCACAGGACTGTTGTTGTAGGGAAAATAGAAGAGGAGGATGTATTGGCTATATTTCCCACCTTGAGTTATTTGTAAAAATAAAGGCAGGATACAAATTTAAACTGTTAATTTGTGTAGCTCAACATATTTATCAAAACACAAGAACCTGGGCAGCCCTTCGTCTTCAAGAATACATTATTTGGTTATATGGACAAATATAGTAGTAACGGAATGCCCTAAATAATCTCTTTGCCTAAACCAGCAACAGTCCTTAGAAAGATAAACAGATTGAAGTCAAGTTAGATTTCCCCCCCCCACAAAATTTTCTACAATGTCGTCTTGCATGTTTTCTTTGATATGCTGCTGATGCCGTATATATACACATGTATTCATATTCTTGTTTATATTAAGATCTGTGTGCAAGAATAACAGCAGTAGTATTTGATAATTTTATTTTGGCTGTTGTGTGTCTTTTTAGCACTCAGTACGTGTAACATAACTTGCTGCGAATGATTTCCCAAAAGGTTGATGGGAAGCTGTTGTGTTGGCTTTGTACTCTGTCCTACAAGAGAGTACTGCAGAAGACCAAGGAACAGAGGAAGAGCTTAGGGTCTTCACATTCTAATTCTTCTACATCTATTACTGAAAAAGACCAGCATCATTTGAAACACCACCATCACCACCGTCACTCCCACCACCATCACCACCATCATCACAGCAGCGGCCATCACAAGTAAGTGCTACGAGGAACTTTGAAATTGAGCCGTCCTAGGAGACACATTCTTGAGAAGTGGTGGATTTTTTTAAAAAAAAATACGTAGCTTCTTGTGACTGCAACAAATTCCTTTTATAAGACACAATTTTCAGAACTCAGATGGTGATGTGGCAAAGATATACTTGGTTCAGAGAAGGTTGCAATTCTCACTGGACAACTTGGATCATATAGCAGCGGTCCCCAACCTTTCCGGCTTTGTGGAGACGCACCCATAGCTTGTGCAAATGGAGCTGCGTGTGCTTGCCTGCTGTACACACCCACCCCTTCTGTGGCTTGGTTCTGAGCAGGCTGCGGACCGCTAGTGGGCCACAGCTCAGGGGTTGGAGACCCCTATCAATATATAGGATCTTGGTGTGACTGTTAGAGACTGTATATTGGTCAGGAATATGGCTATGTGGAACACGCACGCCTCAACCTATCCCAACTATTTTCAGTGTCAGGGAAAATTCTGATCAAACTAGTTAAGGTCCCAGAATTTGGGGTTAGCATTTTTAGAGACCACTGGGATGGAGCCAAAAGTAGCTCAAGAAGAGATAGTTTGTTTAGGCCAGTGGTGGCGAACCTATGGCATGCGTGCCAGAGGCGGCACTCAGAGCCCTCTCTGTGGGCACGTGCACCATGCCCCAGAGATAGCAACCGTCCCTCTTCAACCAGCCGCCCGCTAACTCACCGAGGTCCCACATGGCCGGATGCATTCCAGCACGGCTGTTTTCCCTCCCCCCCCCCGGTCCCATCCCTCCTGGCCTCGCATGCTCTCCTTTTCCCGGGCACAACCCACTGCATCGCCTCCTCGGCTGTCAGCCGTCCGTCCAGCTCAGAGGCGGCTTCTCTGAACTGCTGGCGGCGGGCTGCGAAGCCCCAGAGTGTGCCGGTCAGGTCGGCAGGCTGTGGCTGCTGACAGACACTGTCGGCCCCCATGTGCTCACTGGCCTCTGTGTGCGGGGCCCGATGGTGTCAGGCAGCAGCCGCCCCTGCGACAATGGCACCCCTGCCCTGCCTCATCTTGCCTCGCCTCACCCCGCAGGACGAGCCTCCTGGGCACTGCCCCATCTGCCAGAGACCCCCTGGATCTCCCCCAACCCTGCCTGGCCCCCACAGGCATCCCTCCCCACGAGCAACATCAAGGTGACCACGCCCACCTTGGCCACACCCACCCAGTCTGCCATGACCACCACAGGTACGCCCACCCAGTGGGCCACGCCCACCTGGTACCCGGTGATAAATAAGTGGGTTTTGGGTTGCAGTTTGGGCACTCGGTCTCTAAAAGGTTTGCCATCACTGGTTTAGGCAATCTCTGCTGGGGGGAGGGGGAATAGATCAAGCATCGGACAAATGTACTAACTAATTGTGAGCATATAAGAGAGAGAGAGATGCTGCAGTGGTCATAGATGTGGCCATCAATCACAAAGTTACTTTTTCATCACCTTTGTGATTGCAGAGGTATTGTCCAAAGTAGTCACTAAGCAAGCATGCTGGGCCACAAAAATTGTCCAACTCCTTATTTGACAAAAAAACCCAACCCTATTTGCTTTCTTCTCTCCATCTTTTCAAACCATTCTGTTTCTGAAGTTACTGACTGAAACCAGTTATTGGAATATTACTGATAAGCTGGTTCAACCTTCTGCATTTCTGTATTTTAGAATCAGCAGTCTGAGCCCAGAAGAAGATCCGGGGTTATGGAAGCAGAGGTAAATAGTATTGAAAAGACCATTCTTGCTTTGTATCTGGATTGGAAACTTTTTGTTGCTTCTTTCCCCTTATGAAGTGGTCGGTGCCAGCAAATGAAAAATGTGGTTATCAGAACTGGTGAGGACAGAATTGCCTCCTTATCACCCTTAAAATTAATGGGCTGATTGAGAGTATAGCACTAGAAAAGAGAAAGTTAAACTTTGCCACCCGTGTTAACTTTTAAAAATATTTCACTGACCACAGTGGAGGCTTTTTGAAAATCTTAATCGCTGTGTAAAAGGCTGGGGATTTTTTTTAGGGAGGGCACAGATAGCATTGCATTAACAGCAGGATGTGCTTCAAATGTTCCTTGAGTGACAGCTAAGCATTAAAAGAATTAGGAATGATGGACATTTGTTTTTAAAAGTTGAGAGAGAAGCTGAGAGGACAGATTGGGCCTGATGCAAGGGAATCCTTGCCTCGGCTTTAAATTTATAATACAGTATTTATATATAAAGAATTTATAATATATAATACTGCTTGCTGTTTGGGGCAAATGTGGCTATATGACCATATGTCACGCAATATTCTTAATATTTCTTTGCAGCCATAAATCCTCTTCAGCTATTCAGAATGAAACTCCAAAGAAAAAGCCCAAAATGGAATCCAAGCCATCCAATGGAGATAGGTAAAAATACAATTCCGAATATATTTTTTTTCTGTTCTGTTAAATAAAACATTGTAGGAACAAGTAGAGTTCATACTTTTCCCATTTTTTTTTTAAATTTCAACATGAATATTATTCCGGTTCTTGATCTTTGGAGGTTTCTACAAAACTAGCCTAAATCTTTGTTGAAAAATTCTGCTACCAGCAGTTCTTGGGATAAATGAACTAACATTGAATCAGAAATCAGTCTAACGGCAGCAGTGGCATATTTAACCCTTGCGAATCTGTTTTATTTTAAATATGGGTACTCCTTGACTTACCTAAATCGATCCCACAATTACAGTCATTAAACGGGTGATCACATGACCGCGCCCAATTTTATGTCTTTTGTAGCAGTCATTAAGCAACCCATTGTTTGCTCTGGGACATTCAGTGAACACTGGGCTCTGGCAAAAACATAAATTGTGGCTAGGTGACTGAGGGATCCTGCAAATGGCTGTCAATGTAGGCTGGTTGTCAAGTGTGCAAAATAGGATCACGTGGTTATGGGGGTGGCGGCGGCCAGAATGTCCAGTACTGGTCATCATAAGTACCTTTTATGGGGTCTGTCATAACTTTGAACAGTGGTTAAGTGACCAGTTATAAACAGGACTATCTGTACATCGTATGTGAAAAATGAATCTCTCAGTTAACTGTTATTCATATAAAAAACCAACTGCTTCATTAAGCAAGTTTCCGACCCTTTGGAAGTTAATCTCAAATATAAGTGGTCCTTTTAAAATATGTCAATTACCTGACACAAAGGATGGATAAAATCTGCTTACAATGGAAGAGATGACGGTCAATGCATAGATATATCATAGGTAGTGCTTCACTTATGACCGCAACTGAGCCCAAAATTTCTGTTGCTAAGCAAGGCAGGTGTTCAGTGAGTCATGCCCCATTTTTGCGACCTTTTTGCCAAGATTCTTAAGCAAATCACTAGAGTTGTTGTATGTTTGTTAAGCGGATCTGGCTTCCCTCTGTTGACTTTGCTTGTCAGAAGCTCCCTGGAAAGGTTGCAGATGACAATCCCAGGATCCCCGGACACTGCAACCATTGTAAATACATGGCAGTTGCCAAGCACCCAAAGTTTTTGGTTGCCACGATGTAAAAAAGATGTTGAGACTCTAGAAAGAGTACAAAGAAGAGCAACAAAGATGATGATTAGGGGACTGGAGGCTAAAACATATAAAGAACGGTTGCTGGAATTGGGTAGGTCTACGTTCATAAAAAGAAGAACTAGGGGTGATATGATAGCAGTCTTCCAATATTTAAAGGATTGCCATAAAGAAGAGGGAGTCAACCTATTCTCCAAAGCACCTAAAGGCAGGACAAGAAGCAATGGATGGAAACTAATCAAAAAGAGGACCAACGTAGAACTCAGGAGAAATTTGCTGACTGTTGGAACAATTAATCAGTGGAACAACCTGCCTCCAGAAGTGGTGAATGCTCCAACACTGGAGGTTTTTAAAAAGACACTGGACAGCCATTTGTCCAAAATGGTGTAGGGCAGTGGTGGCGAATCTATGGCACGGGTGCCAGAGGCGGCACTCAGAGCCCTCTATGTGGGCACGCGCACCGTCACCCCAGTCCTAGGCCTTCAGCTGGGTTTTATAAAATCTTTTCGCTTTAGGCCTCCGCCGCCATGTGCAAAAAAAAAAAAAGGTTTAGTCAGTCAATTTCAACTTCTCGCAGGAAAAAAAAAGATCTTGCAAAGTTGGAATTAATTGATTGAACTTTTTAGTCCCACCCAGTCTGCCGTTACCACCGCAGCCACGCCTACCCAATTGGTCACGCCTACCCAATTGGCCACACCCACCCAGCACTCGATGATGCATAAGTGGGTTTGGGTTGCAGTTTGGGCACTCAGTCTCTAAAAGGTTCTCCATCACTGGTATAGGGTTTCCTGCAGGACTAGAACACCTCTAAGGTCCCTTCCAACTTTGTTATTCTGTTTAATCAGGTAACTGAGGATGCTGCAATGGTCATAAGTGACTTTTTCAGTGCCATTGTAACTTTGAATGGTCATTAAACGAATGGTTATCAAGTCAAGGATTACCTGTATTAAACAGATAAACATGTATACTTGGGATGCAGTTTGTTTCTGCCTTTAGTTACATTTGATGCTATTTATTTTTACAGTAGCTCTATAAATCAGTCAGCAGACAGCGGAGGTACCGACAACTTTGTCCTAATAAGTCAGTTGAAAGAAGAAGTGATGTCACTGAAACGTCTCTTGCAACAAAGAGATCAGACTATACTGGAGAAGGATAAAAAGGTGAATGGCTTGGTCATTTCAGTAGCTACTTTAGAAGTATTCCATTTGTGTCTAAGATTTATGTTTGTCAAATATTTAAAAATGCAGCGAAACCTCCAGACCCTCCCTCCGTGGACTTGCAAAACAACAGATAACAGCTGAATCTGGACATGACCTCAGAAAACAGACTCCATTGTTTCCCAAGTAGTTTAAGACAATTTATGTAAATTAATATCATTGGAGTCAATTTATGTAATTACTCATATAATGTAAAATGATGCAAATGAGTCTGAGTGCCTCTTAAGAAAATCTATAAATAAGGGTGCACATTATAACATGGGGAGTGGTTTTGAAAGTTGTCCAGAAAATTACTTTAATATAGAGTATTTCATCTTGGAAAAGAACTTTACCCCATTGCTGCATTTAAGTTTATTATACAGTCAGCTTGATTATTAAGACACGCATACTCAACTGAAGTGATGAATTCTATAACATGTCCACAATAAGTACTGTGTAACAATTCTAGTTTCTTCAAATTTAGAATGATAAAGGGTTAATATTCCTCAAGTTTCTAATTCCTCAATATATTAAAATAGTCTTGAGTTGCATCTGTTGCAAAAATCAACAGGACACAAGACATTTCAGGAAAAAAATAATCACTGCTGCAGCCAGCAATATTATCTAAAGCAAATGTACAATATATGGCATGGTATGCCAAGAAAAAAAATTCAAACGTTTTCAACAAGAATATTATATCAGAAAGGAAATGGTGTGTGTGTGTAATTTCCTATCTTCCATCAAACTTGAGAACCAAGAATCTTTTTGGAAAAGAAATAGGATTTAGAGGGAAGATGCCCTAAATTAGTAATCAACTGGCTAAATGACAAATGTACTGGATAAATTCAGGAAAAAAATTTGTCTGAATCATAAAAAGATGACAGTTTAGCTTGGAAACATTAAAAAGCCTGAAATATTTTAGAAATTAAACCAAAGAACCTCATTAGAAAGTTTAAGCTATTAGGAGAATATCAGTTCTGTAATTTTATAGTAGTCCTCTTTTTTTTTGCTTAAGAGTTTAAATGTATACTTACCACTTCATGATGGGTCAGACTTTTATGACAAGATTAAATTTTCAGGTAAATTAGAAAAAGGCCTGTATTTTTTTTTAAAAAAAATTGTTTCTAAAACAATTTAAAGGACAATGCATTTTGGTTATAATTCAGAAGACATGGACAAAATTCTAAATCACTACGTTGTATTTTACAGATAAACTCAGCCTCTTTCATATATACAGATAAATCACTTAATGCTGCATGATGTTCTTTTTTCTGGCTTTTAAACCAGCTGAAGAAAATTGGGTTCTTTATCTTTAAACATTTACCTAGAAGTGCATGTTGTTGATATTTGAGAGTGAGAGCATTGAAGTAACCACGGACAGTATTTTTAAAGAGATAAATTAATTCTTTTTCTCAGCTGACTGAGCTGAAGGCGGACTTTCAATACCAAGAGTCGAATTTAAGAACCAAGATGAACAGTATGGAAAGAGCTCATAAGGACACTGTAGAACAATTACAGGTAAATGGTATTCAGTAATAGCTGAGAACCTCCATGAACGAGAGCCAAGAGGCCTCCATTTTGAACCCGTTGCACTGTATTACCCCAAAATCAGGAGGAGTCAGGTGGCACCTTTTCTGATTTCATAAATGTTATTTTTTTCTAAAAAAAGAGTTGGCATCTGATAAAGTGAGCTACAGTTCACAAAAGCTTGATTAAATGGTTTTATAGCCATTTAATGATATTGATGAATAGTATGAGGTAAATAATGAAGGGTGTTAATCTGAAAAGGCGATACCTGTCCAGGGTAGGGGAAACCAAGAACGACATGATGAATTAGTAGCTTCTTTATTGCTGTTCTCCTTTAGTCAAATCTTACCAGACTAAAGCATACTCTGCATTACTATCATATAAATCAGGGGTCTTCAAACGTGGCCCTTTTATGACTTGTGGACTTCAACTCCCAGAATTCCTCAGCCAGGGGCCATGTTTGAAGACCCCTGATACAAATGGAGTATTAACCGCACTGGTATTTTTGCAGCCTTTGTAATATTTTTAATTTTTAAAAATCTTCACGTAGCAATGTAGAATAATGCCCGTTGTACAAAATAACCAGGAGCACCGGCCATTTTGGATTTTTGCAGGCAAAGAACAGAGAGCTTCTCAAGCAGGTGGCAGCATTGTCAAAGGGCAAGAAGTTTGACAAAAGCGGGAATATGCTGACGTCACCATAAGAAGATGGCGGTTTGCGTGGCTATTAATCTCGGAAAGGTAAATCAACTCTGGGGAAACGCCATAGAAACAAACCTTTTGCCGTGCAGAGTTGGTGGCATAGTTCCTATACCTTTTTCTAAGTGAATAATGTTACAGAGGTGGTTTTTGGTGTGTTTTTTGCAAATGAAAAATTATTTGGATTACTAAAGAACTTCAACAAGTTTGAAGAAGGCACGCATACATATATAATGCAGACATGCAGCCATACAAAAGGAGGCAGCTGGCCAGTCCCTGGTGATCAGTAAGTGTGCTGTCCCTGGTCATCACAACATGCAATAACATATATACATATATATATATATATACTGTATATATAAGGCAGTCCTTCAAGAGGGCAGCTCCCCCAAGTGCTCCTGTTGTGCAGACTGATTGCATTCGGTTGGACTTTAGCAGGTTGCCTGGACAAGAGCAAAAACCCACGTAGGAGCTGGACAAAGACATCTGAGGACAACTTTCAATCTGATCTACGTTCCAGCAGCAGCAGCAGCTAATTTGAAAACGAGCAAGAGCACTGGAGACTTGGCAACCCTTCTTGGTCTTTCAGTCCAAATAAGAGTGCATTGAGGTTTAAAATCATGGTGCTTTTATTACAAGACGCTTAAACCTATAAATATATGTAAAAGATTTTAATAGTTCTATTCTTAGTAATAACTGGTGTTTTGCATTTCCTGTTATAGAAATTAAAAAGAGATTCTCTATTGTAAGTACCAGAACAAAAGGTGTTTTTTTCTGAAAATACGCTGTAGACTTCCTCCTGCAAGTGCCTTTTCTCCCAACGGTTTATTTATAGGAATGTTGGTATTTGTATATACTTTTCTTCTTCTTTAACCATGTTTCAGCGTTCCCCTGTATGTATATATTTATAAATGGATATACAGAAGGATCAAATGCAAAGATCAAATGGTTAGAATGATAGGGAAGGTCCTAAGTACTGGCCGGCAATGAATTTTGGCTGTAGATACTGTAACAGATGTGTCTGTGTAGAGAGCATTTGTCTTAACTCTTGCTGTGCCTAACTTAATGGGGACGGGGAGCTTTTAAAATGTAGGGCTTCTATGAATAGATGGTTTATTTTATCTCAGTGCTGATTTGCATTGTATTCTCAGTGATGTGTCCTTGACTGAATGATGAGGGGACAATATTTGAGCTAATGTAAAACTCTCCAGGTGTTTCTTTTAATGACATTGCATTGAAATGTAATGCCGTTTTGAACAGTTCTACAGTGAGAACATAACAATTCTACACTGAAAGCTTTGTGTTGCTAAAGGCATTGTCCCACAGAAGTTCTGTGGCCAACACATTCGGAGCAGAAAGAAATGTCCCTGGAGAAATCTGAATGCCTAACACTGAGAATTAACAAGCAAACACAACAACTCGCTGTGTAGTCACAAAACCATGCTGGCCCCGTAACCATGGCTCAGTCTTTACAGCAGGGGTGTCAAACTGCCGGCCAGGAGGCCGAACGCGTCACGTGGAAGCCGCGCCCACCCCATTGCCAGCAATGGCAAAACCGGCCTGATACGTTGCGCGACGTCACATGACGTCGCGAGTTTGACATGCCTGCTTTACAGTGACGGGACAGTAATGCAGGCTGAAGCACCATTTGCACTAGAGGGATAGAGTGAGACTGAACAGTACATTTTATACATTGTGGCTCTCCAACTGCATTTTGGGGAGAGCCTGAGATTCTGTGGAGATAGATCAGTAACCACAGGGATCACCATTACTGAACGTCAATTGTATACATATCTGTAGGCGTTTGTTGAGTGTGTCCTGCAGACACTCTCAATTTCTTCAGGGCAAAGACCTCTCAGCATTGCACAAACTAGTGCACCCTGGAATGTTTCTCCAAACTTTCTGTAATGCACAGAGGTTTCTAGCACAGTGTTCTTCAAACTTGGCGACTTCAAGTCGCTTGGCGACTAGCGTGCTGCCTGGAAAATTCCTGGGATTTGAAGCCTACACATCTTTAAAGTTGCCAGATTTGAAAAAGACTGCTCCAGCAGGCAAGCAAGGAGTGACTCTGAAGTAAGTGAGTTGGAAATCATGATTTGGATGTGTAAAGCTTAAAAACAAAAACCAGTAATACTTCAGTATTTTTAAGGTTCTTTGTAGGAGAATGATACAAGAGAGCAGCCCCCAGGTTTTTGGGCGCCAGGGACTGGTTCCGTGGAGGGCGATTTTTCCGCAGGCCAGGGGTCATAGTTTCGCACACTGCCTGGATCCTATGCCTGCACAACCCGATTCCTGGCAGGCTGCGAACCGTTGGAGGTTCGCGGCCCTGGGGATTGGGGACCCCCAATGTAAGACATTAGAAAAGTTCATTACCATTCCAGAAAATAGTTTCATTAACCTAAAATTTATTAACCTAAACTTGTTTCTATTAAATGGAAAATCCAGTTGATAAAGGGGTGCTCAATTTATTATCACATGGATTGCACTTCAGCTAGCCTTCGTGTTGGGGCCTCCAGCTACCGGTTTTAGGAGGGTTTGTTCCCAAGAGACTACTGAATAATTGTAATTTGAACACAAAAAAAGCTGCTTTCTACAATATTGAGAATTTTTTTATTTTTTGTATACTAAAGATGAACTTTGTAAATTTATAAATACTATTTGCGGATATTACATGATTATATAGATAGGGTAGAATATTCTTTTGCTATCCTGTTGAACTGCTTTATCATTCAGACTTTTTTTTAAATTGCTGACTTCCATTTCAGAGTATTTTGATACTTTTTCTGATTAAATGATTACCTGTCATTGGTGGACTTGTTTAAAAAGAAACTGGTCAAAACTTTTCACAAGAAACGTAATGACTTTCTGATCAAGGCATTGTCACTGAAACCTGTTTATGCTGCAATAGGAACCTTATATAGAGGAAGAAAACCAACAGTCTGGCTTTTAAGTACCAGAACTGTGGAATATCCCATTTCAGAACATTTACAAGAGTTTACTACGTCTAAAGAGAAACTATTTATTTTTAATTGTAGTGTTTCAAAGGCTGGAGATTTGGGTGGCTTTGAAAAAGAGCTTGATGTTATGTAGACCCAAGATGATACACTATGATTTGCATTTAAATCAGTTTTTTTTAAAAAAATAATAATAATAATTGGTATCAAGCAAGAAAAAAATCCCTTGGGCTTGAATTATTTATATACATTTAGCCTGTAAATAATTGCAGTTTTTTTTTTTTTAGTTAGAATGTCTATCTCCATTTTGAGGTGAAGCTTTTCATCTTACTTACATTTGTATATTGTGTTGAAATTCTGTACTGGCACACATTTGACATTTTTGTACTTTTTCTAAATCCAATATTTCACAATAAAAGCTTCTTAAAACCAGCAGTATGCCTGTCTGCCTATTGGGACTGGGCAAAGGGATAATTTTAATCTGGGGGTTTGACCAGCCTTTTCCAAGCTGATGCCTATAAACCTTATCCTTTCTAGCCAACATCTTTACTGTTCTATAGTTTGTGTGTTTCACAGATTGCCTGTAATGAATAAACATTTAAAATAATAAATGAGATTTGAAGTTATGATTTCAAGCTGTTCCTAGTATTCTGTTTAGTTCAGTAGTTTTCAACCTTGGAACTTTAAGCCAGCATTCTGGGAGTTGAAGTCCCTAAACCTTATGGGTGGTTGAAAAAAGTTGAAAAAGACTGGTTTATTTTATCACATTATGGCACTTAACTGCAAAAAAATGATTTTCATATATGAGCTGATTTCACATAGATGCAAGGTACCATTTAGCCCTTATTTAGTTCTATGCTCAGGAATTTAATTTAAAATAATTAACAACAGATGGGTACCTAGTTTTTGTATGAACACATCCAAAGAAGAGGAAC